TTCCTTCCTTCCGTCCTCTCTCTGTCACCCAGAGACAGGGTCTCACTCTGTCATCCAAGCTGAAGTGCAGTGGCATGATCACAGCTCACTGCAGCCTTGACCTCCCTGGGTTGAGGTGATCCTCCTGCCTCAGTCTCCTGCATAGCTGGGACTACAGATACATGCTACCACACCTGGCTAATTGTGTATTTTTTGTAGAGACAGAGTTTCACTGTGTTGCCCAGGCTGGTCTTGAATTCCCAGGCTCAAGCAATCCTCCCACCTTGGCCTCCCAAAGTACTGAGATTACAGTCCTCACTCATGCTACAAACACTGCCTTCTCTCTCCCTTCTGGAGCAGGACAGCTTTTCTCCTCCTGCCTTTGGACATCAGACTCCAGGTGCTTTGGCTCTTGGACTCTGACACTTGCACCATCTGCCTTGCACCTGAGAGCCTGCCGCAGGCTCTCAGGCCTTTAGCCTCAGACTGGGGGTTGCATTGTTGGCTTCCTTGGTTTTGAGGCTTTTGGAGTTGGACTGAGACACGTTATTGGCTTTTCTCATTTTCTGACTTGCAGACAGCTTGTCCTGGAACTTTGCCTTTGTAATCACGTGAGCCAATTCTCTCTCAAAAATTCCCTTTCGTATATAAATATATATCCTATTGGTTTTGTCCCTCTGGAGAAGGCTACTACAAGTGTATTGTATAAAATGAAATAAAATAAACATCAGCATTTGATTATACTTTGCAATATGTTTTATCTTTTTGGGGCCATTGTAGGTACTTAATATTTGTTAATTGCATGGATGGATGAATAAATAAATGTCAAAGTGCTCATATTTTAAAAATATGAGCATTGTATATGAGAAAATTGCTAAGAAAGGCCAGGTGCAGTGGCTCACGCCTATAATCCCAGCACTTCAGGAAGCCGAGGCAGGCAGATCACTTGAGGTCAGGAGTTCAAGACCAGCCTGGCCAACATGGTGAAACCTCACTTCTACTAAAAATACAAAAAATTAGCCAGGTGTGGTGGTGCATGCCTGTAATCACAGCTACTTGGGAGGCTGAGGCAGGAGGATCACTGGAATCTGGGAGGTGGAGTTTGCAGTGAGCTGAGATGGTGCCACTGTACTCCAGCTTGGGTGACAGAGTCAGACTCTGTCTCAAAAAAAAAATTGCTAAGAGGGTAGATTTTAGATATCTCAACATGAAAAAATAAGTACATGAAATGATGCATCCTTTT